TCCTGTCAGGAATTTCTTCCAATTATCTAGCTTGAGGCTCATCGTTTATTTATAGGCAAGCCTACTTCACAGCCTGTGCCTGGTAGAAACATTTGCACATTGCACTGGTGTTCTGTTGTGTAGCCCCTTCTCTAGCCAAAGCTACACTTCCCATCCCCCCACTCCCAACCCTGGTTTGGTCTGTGTCTTCCGTGCCTCTGACTTTAGGCAGAGCAGTTTCTTTGCTTCTCTGTCCTCTTCCAGTAACCACCACTATTTTCTTCTTGGGAATATTTCCAATTTTAATGGTTGGTAGATTCTTTTCACAGTTTTTCATTCTCTACCAGTTCAACTCATCCCCTTTTCCCCTCATTTCCTTGTGGAATTAGAAAACAGCTGTGTACCCCCTAGGACTCTGGGCCTGGGCATTTTCAGAGCAAACCTTTCCTCATTGTTAGCCTGGTTCTTTCATCTGCTGGCTGCAGAGCAAGGGGATCCACACATGGCACCCACAGAGCAGCTCCTAGTGACTCAAGCTGAGTGGTTGAGCTCAAAGGTACAACAGAAACCCATCTGTAATGTGGTTGTTTTTCTTCCAAATCCTTGAGACCATAAGTGACCTGTCTTATGGTAATAGTGAAATGGGAGGGGCGGGGTGGGACTGAGAGGTGGTTCCAAATTTTAGTTTGACTTCAGGAGGCCCATTTTTCAGCATCTCCTCAGCCTACAGTGGGCTTGGATCTTAGTCATATTTAGATAGTAGCACCAACTTCTTATGGCCTCCGCCTCCACTATGATTTTTTATTGTGGTATAATGTACATAACATAAAATTGAGTATTTTAACCATTTTCAGGTGTGCAGTTCAGTGGCACTAAGTACATTCACACTGCTGTGCAACTGTTACCACCCTTCATCTCCAGAACTTTTTCATTTTCCTAAACTAAGACTGTGTCCCTATTGAACAGTAATTCCCCATTCCCCTGTTGCCCCAGCCCCTAGCATACCTTTACTGTGATATTACTTAGTTTCTTAAAGCACCATTCTGACCACAGAGCCTCTACTTCTTCTGTGAAATCTCAGCAACTCAGACTGAATTTCAAGAACCTTCACTGGTGCCTACAGACTCACTCCAATGAGCCGCTATCATTTCTTGGCCCAGAATCCTGCTCTGAGAGGTGAATCTGGGCTCATGCCCTTCTTTCCCACCTGATCCTTTGCTCATGTTGGTCTTGAGTCTTCCCTGCAGTCCAGTTGGCCCTAACCTTCATATTCTGTTCATAAGTCTCCTGTTTTAAGACAACCTCCCTGATGTCCTAAAATGTCCAGGCTCTATTATACGACTCCCCTTTCCAATCTCTGTAGTATTCTGCCTGGTTGCTCTTACCCTGTGTCTTGGTTCCCTCTCAGACTGGAGGCCACCTCAGGGCAGGAGGTGAAATCCATTCTGGGTTCATGTACTCTGTTTTAGGTCCTCGACACTTAGAGCATGGTCTGGGTTCTAGGGCATTAGCCTTACTCCAGAGCTTGGTAAAAATGCAGAATCTCAGGCTCCATGCCAGACCTACTGAGTCAGAGTCTGCATTTTTAACAGGATCTCCAGATTACTGACATGTACATTAAGTGAGATAAGCACTGCTGGAGGAGGGCTGATAAGTAATTTATAATTTATATTTATATTGTATAATTTATAATTTATATTGTAGGTGTGTGTGATTTTTAGGGTATGATGGATTATAAAGGAACTGGAGGGCAAAGTAGCTGGGGGTGGGGAAGAAGAGGTGATATGTTGAGTGGGAAAATGACGTAATGAGAGGTTTCCCCCCAGAGTCATGGAAAAGATTCCTCTGAGTTTTTCCCACATTTTTATGGGTCTCTGGATTTTGCTCTACTTGTGGAGACATGTATTTCTTGGTCTTCTCTTAGAGGTGATTTCTAGAGCAAAGGCCTTCAGATTACAGCCTTAGCAAAGAACTCATGTGTATCTCTTCATCTTTCCAAAAATATTTACCCTCAGAAGCAGTGCCCTTTGAACTTTACCACATTCTATGATCTAGTCCTTGAGTATCACTGTGTAACAGGGAGTGGTAGGGTGAGCCTTTGGGGCCTAGTGGTGAGGACCAGGAGGGAGTGCAGCCTAGGCCTTTCAGAATATAGTTTCCAGGAATTTCAGTCATTCAGAGTGAATATTAATACCCCTTCACCTCTCTCTTCTCTGGGAGGCAGCATGGGGTTGGACATTTCATCTCTCATCAGGATATCTCTCTTGTACTTTGAATCAGACCTGGGACCTGAGAACCACTGCTCCAGCATTCAGTGCAGTATTTCAGTGTCCTAAACTTGTCCATTTTCTCCATCAGGCTAAAGGTTTCCTTTAAGGAATCCTACCTTTCTACTTCAAAAGTTATCTAAGATATGGACTTATTTGCACACAGTTCCATTACTGGAGAGGTTATTAGGTTTTTTTTTTTTATTCCTTAACTTCTAGATCAGGTTGTGTTGGTTCAGTTGAGTAGGACTTCTGAGGCTGGAGCTTTGCATCTCTAGTCTGTCTTGGGCTTCTTTCTGGAGCTGACTCAATGTTTTGAATACTCGAAGGTGGGGGATATTGCTGATGACTGGGATATGGAGAAATCGTGAAATTCTAGCCAGGAGAAGCTATCTCAGAAATCTAAGTGTGTATGTTGTTATTTCTTTTCCAACAGGCTGCATAATTTTTATGACCAATTATTCCATTTGTAACAATGCTGAGATAACAGATCCTATCTCATGATCCATGGCACACACCAGGCACTCATGGGAGCCAGAAGATACCACCCCTTATGCAATTGGATGGCCAGAGCGCTTGGACCAAGACTCAGTTCTAGCAGGAGACAGACAGGAATGCTAAGGGAATCTTTGTGATAGGAAGGGTGTGAAATACTGGAAGCCAAGCATGGAGGGGACTGCAGTTTTAAAACTGCAGAATCTTTCCCATCTATCTGCCCTCTTACTATTTTGTTTTTTTCCCCCCTGCTTATTAATTAAGGGTTAGATATTTGAAGCCAGCAGGCCTAAGTTTGAATCCTTGCTCTACCACTTAGTATTGTATTACTTAGATTCTTCTATCTTGTTTTCCCATCTGTAAAATGGGGATACTAAGACCTATTTCTTAGATGAGTTTTAAGGGTTAAATAAGAGAATGTCCATCTCTGTGCTCTCTGGCCCGTGGACAGAGACACACAGTTATGGTTTAAGGAAAAGATAATGAAAATGAGGTAGAGGCAGAGAGAACATGAAAGATATGCACATGGAGAGGAGTAATGAAAGGTAAGAGAATGAAGAGAGAGAAAGTCAGATGGAAAGGCAAAGACATGAGTGAAAGCCAAACAAGACTGTCAGAGGACAGAGGTAGAGGTTTCATTTGTAGAAGCTGGCAATAAGATCCCAAGCCAAGATCCTGCTTTCTTCTTGCCCTTTGCTACTGGGGGACTCAAGTTCTAAGTCCTGGTCCCCCTCCTGCACCTCCCTGCACTGTGATCATCACAGAGCTGGCTCTACCCTGAAGCCTGAACAGCCCTGCCCTGTGCTTGTCCACATATCTTGGCCTGCACCATCATAGTTACCCAAGTCCATAGGGATTTTTCATTTCGAACACAACTGTTTGAAGTGCAAAAGCATCATGGTGTCAGGCAGTCAGTGCAATAACCAGGGGTAGTTTTATAGTCACTCCCAGTGATGATAATAGCACTTTCATGTATCTCTGGCTGCGACAGGCAATTTTCTTTCAAAGATTGTTTTTTTTTTTCTGGAGCCCGGGATTTCTACTCTTGCCTCCATCCTCTGGGATATTAAAACAGGGTCAGTGGCTTGGCAGGCTGACTAATTTCTGGTCATTTCCTAGCTCCTCTTTTCACCCTCCCTTGTTGTCACTTCTCCCATCTTGGCATCCCTCTACTTCTGCACCCCATCTAGTTAGGCTACAGGGAGATGGCTTCTGTGGCCCTCCCTACTGAGTAGTATTGTCATGTGTCTAACCTGAAGAGTAGAAGCTGAGTGGGGTGCAGCTGAAGATCCAAGAGAGGATTCACCTTCTAAGCCTCACCCCTGTTCTCCGTGGCCCCCACTCCCCCATGCTGTTCTGAGATGGAGCTGTCAGTTCACTTCCACAAAAATATTTGAGCTTATTTTCCAGGCGGAACATTTTGAAGAAATTGCTGAATTGAACTAATTTAACATTAAGGAATTTTTCTCTGCTAGAGACTGGGGGTGGGGTGAGGCAGCTAGTGTAATGTTTTTTTCTGGAAAATTCAGAAAAATTCCCATATAGATTAAGGGCTGGGTGAGGAGAAATCTGGCATATGGGCAAGGGATACGGCAACCTTTGGATCCCTGCTTCCCTAAAGAGGGACTCTGACTCTGCTCTTGCTGCCAAAAGTAGTCTCTTCCATTGTTTGCTGGTGTGGCAGTTGCTGGCCAGCAAAATCGCTTCCCTATTTCACCCAGGTAGGGTTATTCTTAGAAGAAATAACTAAACCTGCTTTGGGGGCTGCCCATTTGAGGAATTTTCTATTCCCTTCCTTGGCCCATGGTCTGATGCCAAAATCCTTTCTTAAGTCTAATTCCTGTTCCTCTTGCTTTGCCAACAGATCAAATCCTCTTGAAAATCAACATGGCTACAGTAGTGAGGGCAGCGGCGACAGCACCTCGGGGCGCCCAGGGCGTGAACCAAAGTCCGGAGTTTTTTTTTTTTTTTTTTTTATTCAGGAGAGACAGAGGCAGAGGGAGAAGCAGGCTCCCAAGGAGCAGGGAGCCCGATGCGGGACTCGATCCCAGGACCCCGGGATCATGACTGAGCCGAAGGCAGTCGCCCAACCAACTGAGCCACCCAGGCGCCCCCAAAGTCCGGAGTTTTAAGAAGCCGGGGAACAGCCCCGGCGAGAGCCCACGGGTTTTCCCGAAACAGGCTCCGCCCCCAGCTTCAAAACCGCTTCCCATTGGCTAAGCCCGCCCCCAATATTGCCCACTCACCCGCAGTCGTTCGGGGACGCACATCGTGGCCACGCCCCTCCGCCAATTAGAGAAGCGTGTTACTTGCGGTTGGTTGAGGAGACCTACCCCGCGCGCCGCGGGAGGAAAGGAGAGGCTGGTGGCGGGAAGTTTTCATTGGCGAGCGGCTGGAAAGTGTAAGTAGTTGTCTCGATGGCCGGCGCTCCGAGGTCAGAGAGAGAGGCGGCTGGGCTGGGCTGGGGTGAAGGGGTTCTTTAACCCCCTGGGGAGAGGTTCTGGGGTAAATCTGCTTTGAAAGGCTAATGTTTTCTTCTCCTTCCTGAGGGTGAGGCCGGCCTATCGCGGATCACTTCCGTTCACCAGTATATCGGCAGGAGAGAACCGGGCGTTAATCGTCGCCCATCTCTGATGGAGCTTGGTCCTTTAGGGCCCGTCGGACTGCCTACCCCTCTCTTTTATCTCCAGCCTTTTCTATGCAGGAAGCTTGGTTACCAGAGTCTGTAGATAGGCAGTCACCATCGGGGGACGCATAAGCATAGTGGAGGGTAGTATTACATTGCTGTTGTTTTCTAAACGCAGGTGGTGGGGAGAGGGGGACGTGTGTCTGATTTAGCCTGTGGTACCTCAGTGGCATGTACTCCAGTGGGAATGACTGGCTGTGACTTCGTGGCATATTTGCTGTGGATGCTGTGAAAAGTTCAGAAATAGCAGAAGGAAAGCCATAGAATCACCGAAGTAGTAATTAGTAAAAGTCTGTTGTGCACCCACCAAAGAACAGCTGGGGAAGCAGGTGCACTCAAGCCAGAAGAGGGAATGAGGATCAGGGGTATGTTGTTACAAAGCAGCTTAGAGAGTAAGAAGTCAGTGACTGTTTCTTCACAGTGATTAGAATATTAACGTTTTCTTAGGCGATAGGGAATTGGTTAGTGGTTACCTCGTATCAACTTTGGGAAGCTGTTTTTGCTGATGTTTTCCAGAGGTATACACAAGTAATTATCCAGGTGAAGTTAGTCTTACAAAATAAGCTAAAGTAAGCTTTGTATGACTAGAGTGATTTTCTCTGCTCGGGGTATTTTCAAGGCTGGTCTCTGTTCTCTGTTAGGATATGGCATGTTCTTTCTTTTCTGAGCATTTCCACATAACTTTGTCTATGATGCTCTTCTTCCAACTAATTTTCCTGAACTAAATCCTCACTGACCTTTGGGTTCAACCAGCCATCACCTCCCCTAAGAAGCTTTATAGAATATCCTTAAGATTGAGCTGAGTGTCCTCTCTATATGTTCCGAGAGCAACTTGTCATCCCCTGAATTTAGACTTATATCACCTTATTTTATTTATTTATTTATTTAATTTTTTAAAAAGATTTTTTATTTTTTATTAGAGAGAGAGAGTACCAGCAGGGGGAGCGGCAGGTAGAGGGAGAGGGAGAAGCAGGCTCCCCGCTCAGCAGTGAGCCCGACGTGGGACTTGATCCCAGGCCCCTGGAATCACGACCTGGGCCGAAGGCAGCTGCTTAACCTATTGAGCCACCCAGGCGCCCCTATCACCTTATTTTAAAACTACCTGCTACCCCACCTGACCCTCACCCCCACTATTGTGAACTCCTTAATCTCAGGGATTATTACTAGACTCCCTTTGTATCCACAATCTTCAGTTAGTAGTGAGTGCTCACTGTAGATGTCCTGAATGAATTAGTAATTAGGTGGAGCATGAGACTGCCTGGAAGTCCCCTAAAGACTTTTGGTTTCATTTTCTGGGGTCAAGATCCTCCTATACATTATTAAACTTACCCCTTTAGGGAGAGGAAGGAGAAGAACAGACTGGAACTCAAGCTCCTAGAGAAATGGAGAAAGGCCGTTGGAGTGGAATTATTGTTTAATTATATCAATGTTTATTTTTCATTTTAGTGTCTAAAGCAACATTTTAACATCACCTACATTGAAGATAAGAGAAATTCAGATTGTTTTCTGATAAATAAAATATTTTGCACATCTAATTATTATACTGGGGAAGAGAAAATAGTAACGCTTTGTATTTATACTTTTTGTTTATTGAAATCCCTTGTAATTCCTGTAAAATAAATGAAGGTATAAAAAAAGGTAAAGCATATTTTCTTCCAAATGGAAAAAAGACTAAATTATGGTATCAAATAGATATGGCTGATTTATTTTAGTTGACATAAAATACTGACATTAGAAGTAGGTATTATGCTGGGCGCCTGGGTGGCTCAGTTGGTTAAGTGACTGCCTTCAGCTCAGGTCATGATCCTGGAGACCCTGGATCGAGTCCCGCATCGGGCTCCCTGCTCAGCAGGGGGGTCTGCTTCTCCCTCTGATCCTCTTCCCTCTCGTGCTCTGTCTCTCATTCTCTCTCTCTCTCAAATAAATAAATAAAATCTTTAAAAAAAAAAAAAGAAATAGGTATTATGCTAAGTGAAAGTCAATCAGAGAAAGATAATCACCATATGGTTTCACTTGTATGTGGAATATAAGAAATAGCGCAGAGGATCATAGGGAAAGGGAGGGAAAACTGAACGGGAAGAAATAAGAGAGGGAGCCAAACCACGAGAGACACCTGATGCCAGGAAACAGAGTTGTGGAAAGGGAAGTGGGTGGGGGGTATGGGGTAAATGGGTGATGGACATTAAGGAGGGCACGTGATGTGATGAGTACTGGGTGTTATACACAACTAATGAATCATTGAACACCACCAAAAACTAATGATGTACTAGATGTTGGCAAATTGAATTTAAAAAAGGAAAGGTTGTATCAAAGAATTTTATGTTGTAAAAAGAAAAAATTATTTTGTTTCAAATAACACTGCAAATACTGCATTATCTTATCCATTAATTTTCTTTTAAGTTCACATTAACCTGAGACAGATTTATATGAAAGTTTAAACATAAATTTTTCCTCTTCCGTCTTGAAAATACTTTCAGGTTTACATGTAACTTTAGAATTCCAGCTGACCTTCAAGGAAATCATATTTGGTAGCAACAATGTTTCACATTGAACATGCCAACTCAAACACATCAAGGAAAAGTGAAAAGAAATTCACATTTTGCCATTAGACTTGGGGGACACAAGTTTAACCAATTTCTGGTTTGGTTCAGGTGAGGTCATTTATTGTAGGGTCACTTTTTCTTTTAGATTATTTGTTTGTTTGTTTAAGGGGGGAGGGTAAGACAGAGAGGGAGAGAGAGAAAATCCTCAAGTCGACCCCCTGCTGAACAGGGAGCCTGACCTGAGCCAAAGACCTGAGCTTGATCCCAGGACTTTGAGATCATGACCTGAGCTGAAATCAGGAGTCGGCTGCTTGGCTGACTCAGCCACCCAGGTGCCCCGTATGGGTCACATTTTAAGAACAGCTGTTTAAAAAATTTCATACAACACTAAAAAAAAAAAAAAAAAAAAAAAAAGTTGTTACTATTGTGGCTATGAAATTGCATTCACGGAAGGAAAAGTTTTTCCTCAGAAAGATGAAACATTTGTTTAAGGACACATCAGCTGGCTGTGCAATGATTCACTTTTTGACATGTTTGAAGTAATCTAATGTATCACCAGTTATAGAACAGTTACAGTGTCTGGTGTTTGTAGAGAACTGGACACCCATTTATTTCCTCGTTTCTTTAGCTCCAGCCATCTGCCCCAGGAACCTACACTATTTTTTTTTTTTTTTTTGGTATATATCAGTACTCCATTTTTTTTTTTTTTTTAAGATTTTATTTATTTATTTGACAGAGAGAGACACAGCGAGAGAGGGAACACAAGCAGGGGGAGTGGGAGAGGGAGAAGCAGGCTTCCTGCTGAGCAGGGAGCCCAATGTGAGGCTCGAACCCAAGACCCTGGGATCATGACCTGAGCTGAAGGCAGACGCTTAACGACTGAGCCACCCAGGCGTCCCAGTGCTCCATTTGAGAAGGAATATTAATGTCAATTATCAGATGGCTTACAGAATCATAATGTAATGATCTTCACATTAAAAGGTAATTTAGAAATGTGTCAAAAAATTATACAAACCTAATCCTATTGCAAAACATAAATAACTCTTTTAACAATATTCCTATTTTCGTTTTACTTCTCTGGGTCCTTTTGCTCTCTGTCCTACGATGATCCACTTGCTTTTGCCTGCCCCTAAATGCACTCGTTTCTCAAAACTCTCTTGTCTGTGAAGTTCTCTTCCCTTGCTATACTGCCTTTTTAACACATCTGCTCCTTGATGCCTATTGAATATACGTTCTTCCCTTCTTTACTAAGAGAATCCTAATTTTGTTTAAATCAGCAATGTGCTACCTAAAAATATCTGTCTTTCCATACCGTTTTGCTGCTGAGGTGGCCACAGGACACCATTCTGGCCACTGAGTAAATAGAAATTAGCCAGGGATTTAGGAAACCTTTGTTCTCCTGATACAGGTACTGCTAGTTCCTCCTTTTCTTTCTCCTTCTTCCTGTCTGGAATGTGGATGTGAGATTAGGGGTAGAGCAACCATATTGCAACCATGAGATCAGAAGTATGAAGACAAAGATCTATTTGGTAATGATATGCAGGGGAGAGATGGAAAGACCCTTCTCTAAGACTTAATTGAGACCCTTTTAAGACTCTGGGTTGCCTACCTCCAGGCCTCTTGTTTCCTGAGACAAATAAATCTCTGTATGTTTAAGCCACTACTAGTTTTCTGTGCTTATTGCTGAAAATAATCCTAACCTAGCCCCCTTATACTTTATTTATTACCTAAGGACAGAAACATTTGATTCACTCCTGTTGTATCTTCAAGCTGTATTTATTCCTATTGCTTATCTTGGATTTCCTTTCAGGGTGCTGTTTGAAAGTGTACAGAAGTGAAGGGAATATTTTATATCATTTGCAGAGTCAAACAAATCACTTTTATTTCAAAGGAATTCAATGATTTATTGTGGCATTTCTCACTGATTTATCTGCAACATTTTGCTGTAGGAATGATGTGATTTATAATTTGGGGACCTTGCTGATAGTTTGATTTCCTTATGCCATTCCTGACCACAACTGATGTCAGTTCATGTTGCACATCTAAGCCATATTTATCTTTTTGTGAATTTACTTCGTGAGAGGGCATGACATATTTTGTTAGACACAGATTTCAATTTGCTACCCTTTCTATATTGAGGTTGCTTAGCAGTGAGCAAGAAGTAGGCCGCTA